TTGTGCGGAGAAGTGCGCGCGCTGGGAAAGCACACGCGGATCGTGGCTGCCCAGGTCCCCGCGCCCGCGACCCAGGTTCGTGGGGAGACGTGCGGGAACCTTCACTGAGGTGAATGACCCTCACTGAGAAATCAAAAACCAGGCGCCAGGTACGGGAGTGGAGGGCAAAAGGCACCATTTCTGCCAGCGTTTTGGATCTGAGAGCCCTGGAGCTGAGACCTAGAGCGCAGAATGCAGGGCGCGGGATCCATACAGCTGCGGGCACACACCGGGTGAACACGGGGCAGACACAGCACCCACCTTGAGCAAGAGCCCCTGTGTTGAGGTGCTTCCCTCCCCTCCTCGGTTTCTCAGAGAACCACTGGGAAAAAGCACAGGCAGGCAAGTATGGGTCTCTGGCGCCACCTAGTGACCAGAACAAAACCACTAGCTGATTCCCTGATGGAACTGGGTAAATACAGAGGGAGGGAGCTGTCAGGGACAGCACCCAGCAACACAGCATCAACACCCTGGTGCAGTTTTGGCAGAGAAATGAATCAGTAACACTGGAAGAGAGGGAAGAATGGGGAGGAGAGAGAGAGAAAGGGAGCAAGGGGAGCCTTTTAAATAATCCTAACGGGGATCTGAGGCTAGTGGGATTCTGTGTCGGATCCGGTGTGGTGCTTAGTGAGGAATGACCAATGTGACATTGGGATCATCCATCCTCTACTGGGTCTCGGCATCTCCTCCACTGCTGAGGGCGGGGCATGATGGCCGGAGCTGCTGGGAGAGCAGCCCTTCTGTGCAGCTCCTGCACGGCCTCTAGATGATGTATGTGCCCAGCTTTTCGGAGACTGTAGTCCCTCATATGACAACGATGACGACCAGACTTATTTTTCCAACTGGCAGATGGACTAGTCCCCTTATGTGGTCTGGTCACCAGTTTATCCTTCTGTTACAGGGCAAGGATAGGGACACGCCAGAACCCCCAAACCTGCCTGCTCTAAATAGGTTCTGCCATCTGCCGCATCAAGACAAAACATAGAAGACCTTTAATGGAAAGGAACTTTAATACCACTAGTAAACAATACAGAAAAGACAAAGAATACAGTTTCCAAATCAAGTACCCACGGTTTCCTGTCCCCTCATGGGTAAAAGTCCACCCAAAAGGGACTGGCCCAGAGCAAGGCCCAAAAGCCTGACACAAGTCTAAGGCCACCCTGTTACAGAAGGGGGAGTTGTGCCCCAGGGAATACAGACCTTCTTTCTCTGATTACTCTAAAGCTCCTTTAGTCTCTTTGTTACTGGTTAGTTCTCAGTGTGTCAGTCACTGACTGAATGTCTCTGTGCCCAGAACTGTCTGTGTCCCAACCCTTATCTTTTTTTCCTTTATCGTCCTTTTCCAGGAATGTCCTGTTTCTCCTAGTCCTGGGGTGTGTGATTATCCCCTTTGGAATTTGTTGCCCTTATCTCTGGAGCCTCCTTAACTCTCCTGAAATCCCTGCACTGCCCTTGAGGCTGCCTGATTATCCCTAACTTGCCCTGGGACTCAGTAACAGGCTGCTCTTGCTCTCAGGACTATTATGTTCCATTCCATGTGCTGTAAGTAATTTTGTAACAGGGTGGTCCCCAGGAAAAGGGGAAGTTCCAGGTTCCCTGTCAACTCAAAGGAGGGTAGAGCTGAGCAGGGAGGAGAAGAAGCTGCAGAAGAGATTGAGAAGGAAAGAAGCAGGATGGAGCCAGAAGGAGACCTGGAGGAGGCACGTGGAGCAGAGAGACACGTGAAGAAACTGCGCTTGCCTTTTGGTCGTGGACTGGGTGACACAGATGTGGGCGAGAGACCCGTGGGGAGGTTGCAATGGCAGCTTTTGTCTTGGTTTTTCTCTTTTTCTTCCAGACTTGCCTGTGTCTGACCCTATTCTATGGGTCCCCGTGGGAAGGTGCTTCAGACTGTGACAAGCCTTTGGGCCCTGCTTTGGGCCAACCCTGTTTAGCTGAACATTTACCCACGAGGGGATGGTGACTTTGGGTGCTTGGTTTGGAAACTTTATTCTTTCCCTTATCTTTGTTGCACACTAATTGTATTTAAGTTCCTTTCCATTAAAGGTCTTACATGTTTTGTCTTGATGTGGGGATGGCAGAGAGATGGGGGAGACAGATTGTTAAGGGGAGTCCCCCTCCTTATTCAGAACATCCCCCCTCAGTTCCCCAATGCTGGGGTGTCAGGGAGGTGCAGGGACCAAAGATGAGAGCAGAGCAAGGCCTGTGCCACCCTGGAGGACCATCCCTGGGGACTGATTCTGGGGTTCCAGGGCCTCCCTGCCTGCAGATGGGCCAGAGTCAGCCCTGCTCACAGCTCCAGGACAGCTGTGGATGGCAGAGAGATGGGGGAAGACCTAGTTAAGGGGAGTCCCCCTCCTGTTGTGATGCCGATGTGCATTACTCCTCTTCCTTTTACCACCACTTCCTCTTGGGAAGACGTCCAATGGCGCCTTCCTGGTCCCTTCCACGATTGTCTGGCATGAGATATTCTATTTTGTTTTTAAGATTTATTTATGCATACAAGAGCTGGGGTACAGGCCAGAGGTGTGGTGGGTGAGAGGACTCACCAGAGACAGAGTGGGGAACAGAACAGGCAGACTAACTGTTCTGTAAGGGAGCAGCGGGTGAGACAGGAGAGGTCTGCTGTGTCATGTGGGTTTCTTTCTGGCTGGTGATTGAACTCTTGCTGCAGAGGCTGCGGATTGCTTCATAGTGCAGTGCTTAACCCCTTACACCACCAGGGAGGCCCAAGCACGAGATATTCTAGATCTCAGAAACAAACTTCAGCAACAAATGGCTTGACTCCAACAGGAGGCAAAAAAATGCCACCTTCAGCCATCTAAATGATGTAGCCCACTGGCTAAATCCAACAAATTGGTTTTCAGGTCTCAATATCAGAATATGGGTCATGACTGGATTGGCTATATTATGTATTTCGTGTTTTCTTTCAGTGCTAAAGGCCCACTGTCCCTTGTTCCGGGGACCAGACAAGCTGAGGCCAGGCTGACCCTTGTGCAACCATTACAGTATCAACCCCTTCCTGTGCCTCCTGCTGACTCCACTCCTGATTCTGACCCGCCATAAAACAACAGGGGAGGAAATGTGGGAGATGGATTATTCTTTCCCTTGACTATTTTGTGCCTCTCAGAATATGAACACGGAGAGTTTGAGATAAGGAACCTCTCAGGGCAAAAGTTCCTGAGAGTCCTGTTTCAGCATGTGCTGGAAACAGCAATAGATGTTGCGCTTAGAGAAGCAAACCACTGACTCTCCCTCATTTCCCAGCCTTGACTGGGCCAGCTGGTTACGAGTCCCCCCACACTTGTGCATCCCCGTTTGCCTGCTGTTTCTTTGATATTTTTTATTTTCTGTTTCATTCTAAATAAAAATGAGACTGCCCTTAGAGCTGGGCTGCCCCTTTGTGGTGTGGTCCCTCTAGGTTTCTCAGTGTTCTGCACATGGACTCTGAGTAATCCTTTTTCATGCCACCGCCACACATCGTATCAAGACATGAATTCTTTTATGAATATTTTCAAGCACACAGAAAAATGGAAATAACAGTACAGAGCACACCACCTGGATCCCAGCATTAGCATTCGCCACATTTGCTTTATCACTTATCTTTATCCACAGACCCGTCTCTCTGTTCATCGTCTTATTTTTCTGATGCATTTCAAAGTTAGTTGCACATGTCAGCACCTTTCATTTCTCAACAATAGAGCATTCCAATTAACAACTAGAGCTCAAATTGGGTTAAGAATTTTCTTTGAGATAAAACTTTATTTGGAGAAATGCACAAACCTTAAGTATAATGTTAGAGGAGTTTTGACACTTGTCAAGAACTTTTTGGACATTATTCTTTTCTTCTCTTGGAAACAATGAGCATTTGAATAATTTAATGATGTGTTACACTTAATAATATAATTTATCGGTCCCCCCATCTTTTGAGTAACTACCACAGTCCAATCTGAAGCCTCCCCGGCCCCTCCATTCTCAGCACGTCCCGGTGACCACACTCTCCTTGGAACAGAGTCCATGCCTGATTCATCTTCATAGTTATTTATTCTTATTCTATTTATTTGGATAACTTTGATTTTTCAACCATATATACATTTTTTAGGGGTTAGAAAACTCCACAATACATGTCATCACCCCATATAAATTGATATATCAATATATGATATGTTATTCATCTTTGATCTTTCAACAAATAAGTTGATCTAATTCTCCTTTTTCCTTTCATCCATAAGACTATTAGTCAATCATAAGAGCAGTTTAGCTGTTTTCATAATTTCACAGCCAAATATTACCATATATATCTATGGTAAGTATTTTTTATTATCATTTTTATTATTTTATTATCAGTTTTATTATAAATCTTGTATTTACAAGCAATACCTGAAGCATAATTTCATCAGAGCAAGAGATGGTCATTTCTTCTAGAAAAACAAATGTCTGCAGTTAGATGAAGACAAGGAAATAGGGCCTCCGTGGTGGCCAGGGGTTAAAGTGTCAGCCCTATCAAGCTATCATCAGCCACTGTGGCATGAATTGGATCCCTGGCCAGGGAGCTGACCCACATGGAGCAGCAGACCTCTTCTGTCTCACCCACTGCTCCCCTCAGCAGTGTATATTAATAGATGTACCTGTTTTGTTCCCCACGCTGTCTCTGGTGAATCTTGCCACCTCCCTTACCCCCACACACACCTCTGTCTTACACCCCACTTCTTGTATACATAAATAAACAAAAAATCTTTTTAAAAAGAGAAGGAAATAATAATTTTCATTTTATAATTATCCTGTATGTAGTCACCCAAGTCACATCAATTCCTTTATGAGTGCTACTTTAACAAGTTATTAACATCAAATAAGCCAGAATCCTTATAGCCTTAAATTTCAAATCAATCATCAACTTTTCTTAGTTATTTGAAGACATAAAACTAAAAATAATTTCATATAATAGCATGCAAACTACATACCTTTGTAAAGTGATGGAATAGTCAAACTATTTCCTAGGTTTTAGCTGAAATGACCATCAAGAGTGCTCAGATTGTATCCAGCTTGTTTTTGGGTAATTTGCCTCCTTGAGCCTAAGCAGAGGACAATATTAAAATCCAAAAATGATCTTCACTGACACTCTTTAGGCCTCAAATGGAAACAAAAACACCCCCTATACAAAAAACTGGGCGGTGGTTTCCATGTCATTTCCTGTGGTCTGTGGTTTGTTACTGCACATTCTAGAAAAACAAGTGTGTTACTTTGTCTCGAGATTCTTTCTCCCAGGTTTAGGAGATGCTCCCTGCTTTCCTGAGCCTCCCCGTCCAGGACCCCACAGCTCTTCACACTGGACAGAGTGGTCTCTGTCCACATCCGTGACTCGGGTCATGGTTTTGCATCAATAATCTCTGGCTCTTAAATCTGTCCCAAGTCCTGAGATCCACCCACCTTTCCCCACACACTACTTGGAACATAACCCTGGAAACTCCCTGGTCCCAGCCGGCCCCAGAGTCTGTCCTCACAGATTTTCTGTCCCCCCCTGGACTGGCCCCTGGATCCCCTCCTTGGTTTCCCTGCTTCTCCATTCAGTCACCACAGATATTGTCCTGGAAGCTGGGAAAGGCTCCTCCTCTATGTCCTGGAGTCTCACCAGCCCCTGAAACCCGCCCTCCAGGCAGGTGCCCGACTGCGTGTTCAGACTCCTGGAAAGGAGTAGGGGCAGGAGGAGAGGCTGCTGGGCGTGGGTAAGGGTGACCAATCCATGGGATCGCTCCCCTCCCACTTGTGGGTGCAGGTCACCTTCCCCCCACAATTCTGTGACCCAAAAGGGATGCCTTTTGGCTACAGGTCAGAGATGACAAAAAAGGGGGTGCTTTTCCTGTCATTCTCTTCCAGGAGGGTAATGAGGCCTTCACTACCTGCTCATCCCTCGGCTGTGTCCTCAGATCTGAGCTACTGCCTGGCCAGCTCATAAACTAGAGAACAAAGAAATCCTGGCCAAAATTGGGAGTATAGATTTCAGTTCTTTTTTTTTTTTTTTTTTAAGATTTACTTATTTATTTATGCAAGCCCTGGGTACAGTCAGAAGCACAGGAGGGTGAGAGGGTTCACCAGAGCCAGAGCAGGGAGCAGAACAGACAGATTGTCAAAATACACTGCTGAGGGGAGCAGCGGGCATGGCAGGAGAAGTCTGTCGCGCCATGTGGTACCCTCGCTGGCAGCCGGGCATAGAACTGGCACTGCAGAGGCTGCAGGCAGCTCCGCAGCCCAGCGCTCAACCGCTGTACCACCGGGGATGCCCATAAATTTCAATTCTTACGCCACAACTGAGGCAGTAGAGAAAATGCTGGAGACTAAAGTGAGAGACTCACAGCAGCTGATGGGGAAGCTGCCTCTGTTCTCATGAGACCAAGTGAAAAGCAAGGACTTTGGGAAACTAATGTAAATCTTCTGTCTCGGTTTAAAGCCAAAAACAAGTATTTGTTATAAATGGAAACTTAAAGCAAATGTTTTCTTGTTAAAGAAAATTACCAGGACCCCAAAATTACCAGGGCCCTGTGGGCCACTTAAAAACCATTAGGGTGTCCCATACATTCTGAAAAGTTGTGTCCTCATTGTTCAACTCAAAGTATTTTTTAATTTCTTTTTTTATCTCCTCTTTAATCCATCTTCCCGTAGTGTGGGTTTCAATCTCCATGAAATGGGAGGTTCCTTGCTTTCTTTTCATGGTTTATTTCGAGTTTGATCTCTTTATTATCAGAGAAGATAGTTGGAATGATTTTGATCTGAATGTATCTGTCGATCTTTGTCTTGTGACCTAAAATGTGATCGATTCTGGAGAATAATTTGTGCGCACTTGAGAAAAATGTGTACTTGGATTTTTTTTTTTGGCGCAGTGTCCTGTGAATGTCTATTAAACCCATGAGTTCCAGATCTTTATTTAGGACTCCAGCGTCCTTGTTCATTTTTGGTTTCATTGGTCTGTCCATTGGTGAGAGTGCAGTGTTGAAGTCTCCTACTCTGTATGCATTTTCTCTAATATTTGTTTTCAGAGTTGATAATAATTGTCTTATATATTTTGGTGCTCCCTCATTTGGTGAGTATACCTGGACCCCTATGTTTATTCCTGCACTATTTACAATAGATAAGATTTGGAAAGAACCCAAATGCCCAAAAATAGATGACGGGGTGAAGAAGACATAATATATATACACAACAGAATACTAGTCTGCAATCCAAAATGATAAACTCATGCCATTCACAGCAACATGGATGGAGCTAGAAGGGATTACCCTCGGTGAAATAAGTCAGAAGGAAAAAGAAAAATATCACATGGCTTAATTTACAGGGAAAATATTGTGGAACCAAATAAGGGATAGAGAATAAAATAATAACAATTAAAAAAAAAACAGTAAACTATAAATCAGAGACATTCTGCAGGGGAGGAGGGGGAAGTGGGGTCAAAACAAGGGTGGGAAGAGCACAAGGAACTATGGTTATGGTGCACGGGTGAATTGGTGGTGGGAATTCTATGGGGACTTGCCGCGGACCAGCGCAGCGGTAGATTAGCAAGGCTGACCCAGGGTTGAGAGACTGAGCAGGGTGGTCAAGGATTCGGTGCAAAAATGACAGACAGACACACTTTAGGAGTGAACATCTGACTATAATGTGCTCAAAATCAACGTACATTCTTATACATTTTTAAAAGCATTACATCATACAATTTTTTATCACAAGAATGATTGACATAACACAATATAATCATAAGATATGCTTAGAATTACAACAAGTTATATTTTAACTAATGATTGGTCACAGGTTACACATGTTCTTGGCTAAAATGTAATTCCTACCTATACTTGTTTAACTTGTTTTTTATTTTATACCTATATTAAACCTATAATTATAAGTACTATTATTGTTTTGAAACTGGCCACCTTTCTTAACTATTTTTTCAGGTTAATATTTTATTTATAATGATTGGGTTTAATTATAAGCTTGCAAGCTTGGATTTTTTATTCAAGACCACCTTGAGGTGGTTGCCAAGGAGTGTTTTTTATTTATGACTTATACTGAGAAATGTTTTGACTATTGGAGGAAGTTACTATATTATTTTTCATATATAATTGTTAACTTGTTTGTTAACTGGATCTTAGGTTGCTGAATTTTTGTGCTTATGTATTAAACCGTAACATTTGACTCATTACCCCATTGTATTGTGACTAGGAAAATTAAAGCAATACAGGAAAGAAAAAACATTCATAATAACAGAGGTCAACAAAAGGGTATGCAGAAACACAGGAGGAGATTGTTGCTATGGCAGGAACGGCAGGTACGTTGTGCTTATGGCAGTCAATCTTCTTAGAATCTGGTACGTCATCAGCGGCAATCTTCTTGGGGAGCAGGTGCAGCGTGTCCCCCTCCGCGTGCTCGGCGCCTTGACCGTGCTGAACATCAAGGACCAGATTGGTATCACTTGAGTTCTTCCGCGGGAGGGGGCCCCGCAGGCGCTACACGTAAGAAAGCAAATATTGTACAAAAATGAACAATGATGTAAAATATATATAAATAAATTATTAATTAAAAAAAAACATTAGGGTGGGGGCCTCCCTGGTGGCAAAAGAGTTAAAGTATCAGAACTATCAAGTTATCACCAGCCACTGCAGCATGAGTTCAATCCCCAGCCAGGGAGCTACTCACATGGCATATCAGACCTCTCCTGTCTCACCTGCTGCTCCCCTCAGCAGTGTACTTCAGTAAATCTGCCTCTTCTTCTCCCCACTCTGCCATGGGTGAATCCTCTCACCCCTACACCTCTGGCCTACACCCCATTTCTTGTGTGCATGAATAAATTAAGAAAAACAACACTAGGGTGACTGTAGGGAGAAAAGTCTCAGGGTAGGCTGTGTGGTATAGAGTAGAAACTCTCCAGTCCCTTTCTGAGGCAGGGAAGTTGTCCTTTCTTGCACCACTTTCTGACTGTTCATCTTAACCACGGGCCCAGTGCTTTGCTACCCCTGACCTCACTCATCATCTTGGAGGCCATCCTGTATCCTAGACCTAAGTAAAGTCCTCAAGTCAGTAAAAACTGCTTATAGTTAAGTTAATAAAAGTTCTTTATGTCTTCACGAATAAAAACAAATTTAAAATTTAGTAGTTTAATTAAAGTTATGATGCTTTAAAGTTATGATGTTGGAAATTAGTACTTGATTCTGTGTTTTAATGTGATTACTTAAAAAAAAAAGTTCATGGTATTCAGAAAAAAAAAAAAGAGAGCAATTAACCTGCTCTATGTCAACAAAGATAGATTTGCTTTTTTTTTTTTTTTTTTTTTTTTATTTATTTTTTTTTTAATAGAGGCATGTTTTATTTCTTTATTTTGTTTTTGTTTTTATACATGCACTGGGTACAGCCAGAAGCGCCGAAGGGTGAGAGAATTCACCAGAGCCAGAGCAGGGAACAGAGCAGGCAGAAGGACCGAAGTACACTGCTGAGGGGAGCAGCGGGCGGCAGGAGAGGTCTGCGCGCCATGTGGGACCCTCCGCCAGTGGCAGGGGAGCAGCCAGGGATCGAACCAGCACCGCAGAGGCCTCGGGCAGCTTCGCAACCCAACACTCAACCGCTGCGCCACCGGGGAGGCCCTAGATTTGCTTTTTGATGTTAATACCAAACTTCTCTTTATGAAATATATTCCAAAAGACAAATCCATTATCATTACTTAAAGTTTTATTGAGTTTAATTATAAAAGTTTGTTAAATATCTAAAATTATTTTATTTAAAATTACTGAAATTTTATGTTTACTTTTTGCTCTTTATTTTAAGGAAGCTGAAATTTGATATCATGTAACTGAAAGGAAAAAAATAAAACGTGTTTAAGTGTAAGGCATTCAGTCCAAAGAGATGATAGTACAATAATTACTTTAATATTTTACAGCCTAAGGGGGAAAAAAAAAACTAGGGTGTTATAAATCTGAATACAGGTAAAGTAAAATGCGTGTTTTTACTTTTTTTTATTTTTTTAAAGATTTATTTATTTATTTATACAAGTGCTGGGTATAGTCAGAAGCGCGGGAGGGTGAGAAAATTCACCAGAGCCAGAGCGGGGAGCAGAACAGGTAGACTGAGAAAATTCACCAGAGCCAGAGCGGGGAGCAGAACAGG